ATTTCGAATTTTAATGCTTAAAACACGTAAGAAATGTTCACACTTAACAAAAAGTAATTCATGTTGACATTTTAGCTAAATTTAACTGTTGGACGGGTATAGGCTTCCTTTCACCGACAACATCAATAAATAAATAAATCGAAAACAGAATGATTTACGGTGAGGTAGATGTCAGAATAAAAAGCTCCATCAGAGAAATACATTTATTTAAGGACTTTGACACACACTTGAGGACTTTGACACTTTGAGTACGGACTCATCTTCCGGATAGATCTTATATAATAGTTAGTGTTTCAAACAAAGGGAAAGAGAAGCTGGGAATGGGTGATATCTCGGTGTTCTGCGCGAAGCGCCACTAACCGATTCATCTCTTGTAGAATCACACGTTTTAAAAAGTCAAAGGGAAAGCATGCTGGCCTTTTAAACGTCGATATTCGGCGTCATTGACCAATTTACTGTAGCTACTGAGCATCTTGCAAAAATTATTTTACAAGTAGGAGGAGAGTTGAGTAGTAACTGGCTTCTTCTGTGAGGAAAACATTGTCTCACGGGCGTGGTTTGTTACCACTCCCAATGAGGGCCCGACATCTAACTTATATGACGTGATTCCATGACTTGACTGGAAATAAACAACGAGCATAAATTCGGCTGATTTGACGCGATTATCAATCATATTTCCAACAATAACAAGCAAACTAAAAAGAACACACAGTTAATTGTTTACTTACGTAAAAATTTTATGTTTTAAATTTAAGTTATGTCATTTATGTTATCATCTACGGATGGTTGACCGTGTAAAGATAAGCACAGCTGGCGCTAGGGGTTAAAATTCGTCGTAAGACTTCCGGGTAATTGCTTCCGATTGACTTTTTCGCCTAGGCATGAAAAAGCTCACCATCTAATGTTAGTTTGTAGTGTTTTCACTATATCGCGCTCTTTCAATTTAACTATCAACGAAGCAAACAACAAATGAATTCGGAAGACTACGCAGCCGAAAAAATAACAAACTGCTCTATTTGCCTGGTTGGTAGGGTACCGGGCCCATGTTCAAGAGTTCGTGGGCTCGATCCCCACCGGCCGAAGACTCCCCGTGTAGTAAATGGTGATTGATGCTCGTTAAATCTGTCGAGTCGCAAAGTCCTCCATGTTCCCATAACAAATCAATACCTCGGGGGGGGGGTGTTGACCCAGGAGTTTCCTTGTCTTCTGGATTTACTACGGAGTTGAACATTAGTAGTCGTAAACCCAAAATTGGGTCGGCTGTTCAACGACGGATGTAGAAATAAAAACGGCTCTATTTTATACAAATCTATACAAATATGGGATAACACTCCATGACAAACCTTACACTTTAATTATGTTGTGATATGAATTTTCTTATATTTGGCACGCGACCTCTTAAAAGTTGTAAATTACAGAATACTCCTATGGATGGTGAAATTGCGTGTAAATTTAAACTCAAATCACAATACATTTTCCTTGATTATAAAGCCTGTTCACACATCGCTTCGTAAGCATAACATAAGCGGAGGGATACACCGGAAATTTCTTGAATTTCTTCCGGTTCAAGGAAGCTTGTTATTATTTGCATTCAGTCAACCATCCATTTGTGACACTATTTCAGATGGAATTGCCGTCTTGTGAATTGACTTAGTATCGAAATTCAAATCAATGTCAAAAGTGTGTCATAAATAATTAATTCTGAATGCATGCAGTTTGCGTAACTAGATTGGACAGTAAAACTATGCTGATGCCACTATTCATCTTTTCAATAAAAATACCAACTGTCTAGAAAAGATGACTGGGTGCTAATGTGTCAATAAAAATCTGAAAATGACACTTTCCATTCGTAATAAATACCTACTTAAGTTCTGTTTTTTTATAGCAATGATGTGGAAAATGATGCATAAAGAGTACATTATACAGAAGTACGTTATACATAATAATGGTACATAAAGAGTACGTTACGTTAAAATCTTTAAATAATGATGGTTTCTTGATGACATCCAAATTAGAAGCTTTCAAGTTTTATGCTAATTATGAACCACGGCAGTCACACAAAATATAAATTTATAAATTCACTTCCCAATTAATAATATCAAGGCTGCATAGTTCAGTAAAATCACGATTATCCGAGCTAATGTGGACTACGACTAACTCGGATAATCGAAAAATTCGGTTAAAGCGAAGAGTATAAAAACGGGAAGAAAAAGAGAAGGTATAAATGTAATATATTTCAGAAATACAAAATTTATACGAGTACACCACATACAATTCATATTATAATTAAAAACGCTTAAAGAGCTGTTCGTTTAACTCTTACTTAGCTTTACTCGAATCAAAGAGTTTTTACTTAAAAAAGTCCTTAATCGTTTACATTACTTTGGCGCTTTTCTGCAGTCATGTTTCGCGATCTTAATTTAACCTTTTTTCATGTACTTTTCAATTACTTGTAATTTTGTTATTACCTAATAATGGCAAAGTGCCATTATTTTTCCTCTCACGAACTTCATTTTGCACCCCAAACTTTATTTTTGTCATGTATGTCTCTCAGTCTAATTTCAGGATGAATGGGAAATGAGCTGTAATGGCATCAGACACCCAGTTCCACTACAACGAACGAACTTTGACAGCAGCAAATAAAGAACAATCGAAAACACAAAATTTTACTTTTCCAATTTGTTTAAAAAAATAATTTCTGTCGGAGTACCTTTGTGAGAGGTTTTTGTTCTTGTAATATTAAACCGAAAGGGTTTATCCTTACCTTTTTGTTGATTACATCTCTGTAGGGCAGTTAAATTTATATATCTGCTTAGAAATGTCACTACCAGCTTTTTAGTTTTCAGAGGACGCTGGTGAACTTAGTGAAATCAGTAGTTTAACACGTTGAGCGCTGCGTCAGCCATCGGTGGCTGACACTGGACTTTCCATTTAGGCCGCGTCAGCCACCGGTGGCTGATACTGAAATTACATTTAGACCGCGTCAACCACCGGTGGCTGACACTGAAATTACATTTAGGCTGCGTCTGCCACCGCTTGCTGACACTGACCTTTCACATAGGCCGCGAAAAACAGCTGCAGAGATGCCAACATGCTCCGGACAGCAAATATATATTTTAAAGTGGTAGATTATCAATTGTGATTCTTGGTTTAATAAATTCAATTTAGTAGATTTTTCTCCACCGCTATTTCTACATAATTCGTAGACTTATATAATTCACCATTTTATATAAGTTATGTCATGCTATACCCTTCAAAAAGCAAGCAAAATTAGTCAAATATTTGCAAAATTTTCTTTGTAGTTGTTTACCGTTTTTTAAATTATTTTGGCGTGTCCGGAGCAGTTGGCATCTCTGCAGCTGGCTGACAGCGTATAACATGATCTAGAACTATAAAACTTACACTCTTTTATGGAATTGCAGAAAATTTATTCAAAATTTACTTAATTATTGTGATTCTTGATTTAATAAATTCAATTTAGTAGATTTTTATCCACCACTATTTCTACATAATTCGTAGGCTTATATAATTCACCAATTTTGTCAGATATTTCATGATAAACCTTCTGAAAGAATAGCAAAATCAGTCTAATATTTACAAATTTAGTTAGTAGCACCGTGGTCAGATTTTCAAGCCATGTAAAATTTGCGTGGCGCTCAACGTGTTAAGAAGTAACTTAGTAGGCTAATAAATACCAAGCCCGTTTTCTTAAATAGTTTAGCCTTATGTCTGAATCACTTATTTTTAGCTGCGTCCAAAATAAATAGTCCCTGAGGATTTTTAAAAATCTGCAAAATAAGTTAGTCTATTGTTAGGCTATTAGCGTGTCAGAAATTCGAAACCGTTGATTTGAATATTCTTTTTTAAATACTCTTTTTTACCCCCGAAATATGATCCCAATAGTTTGATCAGGAGAGCGGCACATAGTTTGGACCTTGGCGAACAAAGAACACGTAGGAACCTTAGGTATTCTTTGGCCAAGGTTTGGACCTATTAATGTAAATTTTACTTTTTGCGTATTTTCAACATATCTCGAAAGCTTTTAAAGCGTCATAAAACTTTTTTGCACACGATTAAAAACTTCGTTTATCCTAAGATAATTCCATGCAAAATGTAATTCTTAGTAAATATTTAATATTTTTTATTACATTATTTAAAAATAGTCAAAAAACTTTTGAATTGTACGGTATAAAATTTTTTGCATCATTTCAAAGAATACGATTTTGAATCAACAAATACTAAAATTGAGCGAATTGTTCCTGAGAAATCAAACTTTTGAAAAAGTCGTGTTTTTAAAATTTAATTACTCGGAGACTATTTGACCGATTTCGCTCAAATTTTGCCCTTTGCCATTTGAAATTTCTTTTTAAAAATGACGTAAAAAACTGTATACCTTACAATTCGATAATTTTTCGACTATTAATAATTAAAATAATAAGAAAATATAAATATTTACTAAACGTTATTTTTGTACATTTTTGTGTTTGGCTATTTTATTTAAAATATCGTCTGCACTAATTAACGAGCATATTTGAGGCATAGTGAGTCCTAGAACATAAAGATACGATCATTAGATCATAAATTTTTCAGGGTGGTCCGTTTTTTTATTTTGAGCTCTGTACATATGCTTTAATTTATTTCAAACTTTTACTAGTCATTGAATCCTCAGAAGAAGCATATGGTGAAACAATTTTATCTACGCTTTTAAAATTAACAGATCCGCGAAGGAATTAGAAAAAAAAATTTAAAAAAGAAAATTTTTTCATTTAAAACGATATATTTTTAAATAAGAAAAAAGCTTTCCTGCTATCGATGCTGCTTCATTGCTTGCAATTTTGGAAAAAACGCCTAATACCTCATCTAGCAAAAAAACACATTAAAAGAAATAGCTTCCAATCATCTGCCATGTAGTAGTCATTAAATTACGTATCAATGCAGATCAGTCATCTGAACTAAACGATCTTTAGTTTTCAAAAAATCGTAAAAAGTATTTTATTGCTAAACGTTATGTTCTTTCCAATAGAAGAATCCTCAGTTAGCTTACTGTGACGAAACAGGAAAAGGTCTAAATAAGTGGACTACCATTACTTTATTTCGCACAAACAATATTGGTGACATTTTAGTGCCAAAATTTCTACTTACGTTTAGAATTTGAATAAGTAAGTTAATTTTATAGCAGCATTTGATATCTTAAAAGGTAAACATTTAAATAAATTGTTTTTTATTGTTACATAGTTGCCAATTAGTCCGGAATTTTCAAAATATTTTATTTTTATATTAGGAAGAGATAATAAAATAAATGACATCATATTTCTTTCCTGGACTTATCTATTTAATTTAAAATGATTGAATAACCTTTCTTAAACAAAGTTAGTTAAAATATTAATGTATTCACATTAAAAATAAAAAATAATAAAAAAATTAACACTTTGATAATTATAAAAAAAGAAAGAAAATATCAATGAAATATAAAATACGGTTAGCCAATAATTATTAAATGAAAAAATTATTTAACATCCCAGACACATTAATGAAAATTGTACTTATATTAATTTAAACAGGGGTGAAAGCGAGACGGAAAAGAGAAAAAGCTGGTAATAAAACCATTTCAGTTATTGCTAGTTTTTCGGAGGAGTTAACGTATTCTTTCTTTTAAACTATTTAACAATATCTGTTTTATAATGGTGACGAAGCGGATTTATATATATCTTAAAATCTTAAAGAAATTTTGGTAGTTACAGATATTTTATTTTCCCAGAAAAAATGCTATAATAAAATGCGTTGCGTACCAGTTTTTCACTTTTTCCGTCTTGCTATATATAAGGGCTTTCAGCCATGGTGCGAAAGTTTAAATTTATGTACAATTACATCATAATCAAAAGATGGTGTGTTCTATCTCTGTCATAATTTAGAATTATTTTTGTCAATGATTGATCTTTCCATTTAGTTTTCACAACCACTTAAAAAAATTAATTATTTTTTCAAAAATTGGTTAATCCGTTATTATTTAATTTAGCCCAAAGAAGACTGACAACAAAACTTAGATTCGTAGGTGCCTACCGGCGGATAAACAGACTAGCTAGTGGCCGCAAGCAATTTGGCAGCAATCTAAATGCTATTACCGAATATCAAAACATAGATTCACTATATATCTGCTTAGANACACCTTGCATTTCGGTCTTTAAAACGTTCAGTGCCTTTATGCGATCAGTAAACAATGTCGCATAAGTATTGCAGCTCGCAATACTTGTGTCGCAGGCATGCGAAGGAGGAAGCAGAATTTCGGCATTTTGCCAACGTAATGAAGGAGTCCGGAATCAGTTTTCTTTCATCTGCCGGCAGGTGGAAACTTATATTTCTAAAATACGCTTTCTCAGGAACTATCTGACCGATTTCGTTCAAATTTGTATTTTGCCATTTAAAATTGCTTTCTTTTAACTGATGTAAACAATTTTATACCTGACGATTCAAAAAATTTTCGACTGTATGAAATAATAAATGTTTACTAAAAGTTATATTTTGGCGATCTTTAGATATATGACTTTTATAATTGTGTGCAAATATTCTCAATTCGCTTAAAAAATTTTCGAGCTATGATGAAATACGCGAAAAGTAAAGCACGAATAGAAAAGCATAAATTTTGCTACTTCTTTAACCCCAAAATAAAATCTTACAAGAAATACGTAAAATTTGGCAGCTATGAAACCTCTCCATTTTAGCAAATAATTACACTGGGGAATAAAATTGTTTTGTTAGATTTTTACGATTTTCATACCTGTCAACTTTTAATCCCTTCCATTATCATTTTTCCCAGTGGTATTAAAATGGAATTAAAACTTTAATTTTTAGCAAACAAATTCGTTGTATTTGAGAAAACTTAAGTTGACAACCATGATAGTAACGCATATTAATATATGCGTTTAATTTTTGTAAGAATAGTGGTGATCCATATCTTTTAAAAATTAATATTATAAAAGAAAAAATGGTATATAATTACTACCACTTTAAATATGAAAATAAAATCTTCGGCAAAATCCGGAATAGTTGGCAGGTTTGGATTTTGATTTTATGTAAATCGGGTGTGTGGATTTCAAATATAAAAGTTAGTTTTGTTCCGAAAGCTATAGATTTTTTTCAAAATGGCATTTTTATAGTTTATTTTTTGTCTGATGGTACAACTTCAGAAAGAACGTGTATGCATTTTTATATGCATTTACAGGCACCTCTCTATAAGCATTCGCCACATCACCAAATGTGTCAAAATTGTAAATTTGACAAATAAAATTGTGTTTTGGAGAAAGAATTTGAAAATAATTTTTTCCACTGGAAAGAAAAATATATATTTAACTCGATCCTTAAAAGTACGTCAAAAGGAATTTCTCTAATCAAATCAGTATTTTTTATTCGATTACTGTAATTTTCGGTAGATGCGCAGCATAACCAGTTAAAATTGCGTCCAAAAAATATAAGCCTGAAATAAACTACCGTAAAATAATTTTATATGGGAAAAAATTAATTATAAAATTTCTTTAAGATTTGCAATTGGCAAAAACTTTCGAAAAATGGCAAATAATTTTGAAATTATTTAGCTAATTTACAGGATTTAAAATCCTTAGCAAGTGCACTGCAGATACAAAAACATTAAAGTTAGTTTCCTAAATTGAATAGTTACTCATATTGTCATAAATAATATTTCATATTTGTAATTTAGGTACCGATCACTACACAGATGAAGAATCACTTTTTTATGTCCGTTTCTATTGTTTTAATTCTTGGTTTACTCTTCAAAGATTCAAAAGGTGAATTTTACACAGCCATTGCAGAATTGGAAAAGTTATTGGGTTCTGTTGACATAGTTGTGAAAGCGTTAGAAGCTTATCAAGAGAGAGAAGAAGTTAGATTGGCGAAGGTCAAATGGTAAAATATTTGATACTCTGGTTTACAGTTAAAATTTTTTTAACTTAAGACTGATTATAAAAGTTTTTTAGATTTTAAGCATATTTATTTTAGCTGTTGTTACCGTTACCTATATTCAAGTCACTTGTACAGAATTATCTTCAGATTTTTTGGGAACTCTTTGAAGAGGCTTTTTGAGACCCAACAGCTTTTCGATGGTTTACATACTTCCTTTTGCAAAATGAATTCAAATTTTTAGCTTGCGATTTTAAGTTTACCGGAAGTTAACCGACGAGATTTGCAAACACTGGCTAGGCCAGTAACTTCGATGAGTAACTCTGTAGGTGACTTCTTCTTTTTTTTTGTAATGGTGAAGCTTTTGTAATGTCAAGAGGTTCTTATTGCAAATTAAAGAAGGCGTCAAAGTTTCCAATAGTCATATATGTATCTAGAAAACTTTGTCCTACTAATGATAATTTAACTTTTTCATCTGTTGAGAGAGCATACTTTAAGTCAACAAGTGAATTGAAATCGACTCGAATTAGTTGGATTTGTTTACTATGACCAAGTGAAATATCCAAGGAAATCGACGTCGTCAACATTAACCTCTTGAGAACGGGTGATTCATAAAAGCATTCGTACAAAATCAGAATGCAGATAAATAAAAAACGGTAGCTTAAATGTTGGCATTGCTAATTTGACAAACTTTGCTTTGCTTTGACTTTACTTATTGTTAGTTTAATCATATATATAATCAATGCTAGTTCAAAGTATAACTAAATAATTTTATTTTGAACTAAAGTATTTGTGAATTAAATAAATCAAACAATTATAACCCAGCCCACAAATAAACTGGTAAAGAACTACTTTGATTACCAGTTTTATCTTTTTACTCTGGTTGATATGGTTTTATGCTGGCACGTATTTGTGACAGTCGGCGCGAACGGGTTAATCTCTTCAGACCTGATATTATCATTTTGTTAAAGTGGTAGCTACATTTTGAAAAACATGCATACTTTAAAGTATTCATATCTGCTAAAACATAATTTCATTTCGTTCATTGTGAGTTGAAAAATTCAAAACTGATCGTATAAAATTAATTGGTTAATAAGTTAAGTTAATGAAATTTTCAGCTGTCTTGAAAAAAGTTCGTCACCACTCTTTAATTTTTCACAAGTTGTGGATACATTGGTTCTGAAGAGGTTAAAATGAAAAATACTAAGCTAAAAATAACTTAAATTACGTTACCACTAGAAAATATTTTTTTACGAAGTGGAGCAAGTTGGCATCTTATACATGGTCGCCTTATCTGACTAAAAATTTTAAAAGCTATATAAAAAGATTAAAATTAGCAACTTTTTCCAGTACATTTTTTTCAGTTAACTATTGAAGGTGAGTGTAAAGAATTTTTTCGTTTTAAATTGGAATTATTTACAATGTAGGTCATGGTCATGAGGGTAGTTACGATTGAATAATTAAAGGAATTAAAAATTGAGTGATGTTGTTACCACTCCTAACAATTTTAGACGTATGTTGGCGTCTTTGGATGCATACTGTTCTGTAAACAAAAAATTTTAATATCTTGTAATCAAATTGGTTGTTAATTGAATAAAATAACCTTACAATTTATAAGCGAACCCTCTACCACATTTTTCATAAAGGCACTTTCTGCATTACGGCAGGTAAGAGTTTGGTGGATGAACGGTTAATGAAGAAGCTAAAACTTGCTTTAAAACTTGATTTAAACCTGCATGAGACCTGGTAAATATGCAATATTTAAAGCACTGAAATTTTTATAAAAACTATTCTCTTGCAACATTTTTAAATCAATGCCACTTTTTATAACTTTCGAGAACTAGTAAATCCGAGATAGGAGAACTAAATTTTAGTATTAGCATCATAACACATAACTATTTCAAACATGTAATTAATTTTGTTTGTAGTGCTCCAAACTAAAATGAAATATTGCACTCTTGGAAACGAATTCAAACGGTTCTATAAACTGAGTATATAGTATAATACAAATATAAATGGAAAAAATAAGACAGTAACAGGGAAAATATAAGTGCTGTAAATTTAGATTTACCTTTATATATATATATATATATTTATATATAACGTCGTTGCCGAGTGGAAGGATTAAAACAGGTCATAGGTCGGGAAGGAGGGTACAAAATTTATTTATTAATTATTAGACAAGAGCAGTCATGAGAATGAGTAAAAGTGCACATGAAAAGTTGCGCTCCTTGGTTATATGTTAGGGAAAATCTTGCAAAGTAAAATCCGTAATATGTCTTAATTTAGGGAAAGAGGGAACTCTTAGTAGTTGCTATTGGTTTATGAAATAGATCGAACGTTTCCCACACAAGAGCAAAGGGAAAAATGTNGTGTGTGTGTGTGTGTGTGTGTGTGTGTAATACAAAAATTAAATACTTTTGTATTAATAAAAGAATTAAAACTCCTTCGTTTTCATAAAATGTCTTTGTTAAAGAATAAGCGTAGAGAGATTCTATTTTGGGAATTTAAGGCTGAAAACGTACCATTGAAATATAATTAGATTTATATTTCGAAGGAAGAGTTATTTTTAGAATCTCTCCCTCTTTCACTTCCATATTAGGAAGCAGTAAATGAATTTCCTTAATGCGTAAGGTTACAAAGAATGTACGAAGTGTGCCTTTTTACCTCAAATCTGTGTTGGTATAAAACGTAGGAACACTAGTTTTGCGTGTGCTTTTCCTCATGATGTGATCCTGATAAGCTGTTCCGGAATTGTCAGAAGTCTTGTCCATCCCCCTCCAGTGCGGAGTGTGGATGGGAACTGTTATCAATACCAGCCTACCTTTAAATAAACCTGTTTAGAACGTATGATGGCTTACGACTGCATTATTTCAAGCTAAATACAACACTGATAACAGGGATGTAGCCCTGTCATTACAAGACGCCAGGATAGTTAATTGCGGATTAAGTTTACCCATTTTTATCTCGCAGAAACTAAGCGTAACGTAGTCTGGTTGACTGCAAAGTTGAAGTTTTCTCGATTAAAAATTGCTGCAGTGAAAAAAAAAACGTTGAAGGAAGGAAGGGTGATTTTTCACCCGTACTACTTGTACCTCGTCGTGCCTGAAATGCTGATGTAGAAGGACGGAAGGACGACTTACCCTCGCCGTTTTCAGAAGAGACTGGGTGGAGATGGTCCCCTTAAACCAGTGATGTGTATCCCATCCGATGACCCTATAATTCCATAGTGCCTCTAAGTTGGAAGAAACATCATCCATGGTAGTGATTCGACACCGAGTGATCCTACAATTCTTACTACTCAAGTTGTGAAAACAAAATTGAATGTGCGCGTTGCGAAGAAAAGAAGAAAAATGATATATTTTGTGTCTCTCTTCAACGAAAAATAGATGAAGGTTAAAAGAAAAGTGGGGCAAATGGAAAGGATTTACTTACTTACCCTCTACGTGCCTTGGGCACTTAAGGCCTCTAGCATATCCTTCCAACGCCTCCTGTCTTTAGCAATAGATCTTGCTTCCTCCCAGCCAGATATTCTACATTCTTTTTATTCGCCCAAAAACATGCGCTGGAGGGTAAATCTGGGTCTTCCTCTTGTTCTTTTACCATCAGGGGCCTATGTAAGCGCAACAGATGAAATTTTTTCTTTGGGCATTCTAAGGATATGTCCGAGCCAGCTCCATCTTCGTTTTTTAATTTCATCTTCGATTGTTTTTATTTTTGCTTTCTTTAATATATTTTGATTTGATACTTTGTAAGGCCAGAAAATTTTAAAAATGAATCTTAAACATTTGTTTTGAAAACTGTAGATATATTATTTTTCTCTCTCCTTTTTTTTTCTTTCTCAATGTTATGATTAAATATTTTAGTAATATTAGATATGAGTAGTAATCTAAATATTTTATTTTGAATAATGGAATAGAGTATTATTAAGAGTTAGATTGTATTTCTAGTGTTTATATATATATTTTTTTATATGAAATTATGATATAGTATTGTATTTATCATGCATCTAAAATGTTTTTGAAATAAATAAATTTGATTCAAACGTCAATTGAACTAGTGACGGCAAACAAAATTAAGTCATTATTTAAACTTTTGTTTTCTAATGATTTTTCGAGATTTAACCAAGCAAAATTTAAAATTTTTCAAAACTTTCTTTTTAACCTAACGATGAAGAGTTTTCTAATAAACTTAAAGAAATTTGTAATTCTTTTACTTTTTCGGACTTGGTCAAAAATAAATATTCCTATTTAAAAAATGTGAAAACTTATATGTTACCCAAACAAAAGGACAGTTAACACTTAACAAAATTTATGAGTTTCCCTTATTACGATAGGCTATATTTTTAACTCAGCTAAGTTTTTATACTTGATACTGATTTACCATATGCTTTAGTAGGGTTGTAGACTTGCAGGGATTTTTGTTTGTTTATTGATTTAGTCGGGCCAGTTGTTACTCAATTTGGTAAGAGACTGATCATCTCTGCTAATTCTAAAAGTGACAACACATCTTTGCACATTAGACAGCAGAATTCTCAAAATGTTAAGGTTAAAAATGATGAAAAAGATGTTTCAGTAAAAGTAAGCATCGAAAAAATGAAAGTCAAAGATGTTTCAGTAAAAGTAAGCATCGAAAAAATGAAAGTTAAAGATGTTTCAGTAAAAGTAAACATTGAAAAAATAAAAAGAAAGAATGTCCAAAAAGTACAAATGATTCGAAGATGATCTAGGTAATGGATGCGTTCATTATCAGGTTAATATCGACGAAAAAATATGTAAAAGGTAACAAAAACAAAAAGAAAAACAGGAAAAGAAAGAATGACCAGGAAACTGATTACAAAATAAATAAAAAGAATAATTTAAGTAAACAAAATTTTGAAAAAGTACATGTTTCAAAGCATAGGAAATATCACAACCCACAAATGCTGAAATTAAATCATGAATGTGCCTAAAACAAAAGAATTTTTTTTTACTTTCTTCAACGGAAGGAGTATAACCTTTTTTGGGGGGGAAATCCGAATCGCGTGTGGAGATGTTTACCTCTACATCATTTTGAAGTTGAACTTTTTTTTTCTCAATAAGGTGAGAAAAATTTTTATATACTGGTTCTGAAATTTTTATAACTGAATTTTTACCTGGATCTCTCATTTTCCCTCTGCTTCTTGAAATTCTGCTTCCCTCCATTTTAACGGGGAATACAGACTTTCATCAAGTATATAACTCCTTTTAACCACAGAGAATCTTAAATTCTGAATAAAGGACACTTTTTGTCCAGTTCGTTTCCATAAAAAGTTGTATGTTTTTGTGTGGAAATTTTTTTTTTGAAAATTTTAGTAGAATAGTTTATAAACATGTTTCATTTTTCTTTCTGTTTAGTTGTCTAAACAGATGAAGTGCATTATCATGTTTTTTTTTTTGTCATTGTAAATAATTGTTTTTTTTCTTCTTCACATAATTGAAAAAAAGTTGTTTGTAGTAGGGAAAAAGGAACAGTCGTACCAACCTAAAAATTTTAAATTTAAAGTATTCAAAATTTTTTTTTACTTTGGCTCACCAAAAAAATTTTTTTGGGGGGGTGGGATGTAATACAAAAATTAAATACTTTTGTATTAATAAAAGAATTAAAACTCTTTAGTTTTCATAAAATGTCTTTGTTAAAGAATAAGCGTAGAGAGATTCTATTTTGGGAATTCAAGGCTGAAAACATACCATTGAAATATAAATAGATTTATATTTCAA